TGTGTGTGTGTGTGTGTGTTTGTGTGTGTGTGTGTAGGGCAACATTTGATGTTGCATGTCAATCAACCAAGATACAAATGTCAATTTTTGTGTCATGGTGCACCAGGTTTATGGTAAAAATTATGACAGCAGAAGACTAGAGGGCTGAGCAGATACAACAAGAGAGTGTGTGAGCTTGACTTGTGTGTATGTGTGTATGTGTGTGTGTGTGTACTCGTGCAAAGAGTTGTGGTTTTCCCAGTCACACGGCGAGAATAATACAGCAAGAGACAACAAGAGTGAGAGTGAACACAGTATGAACGGGTAGAGGGGTGGGGGAGTGCGAGGCAGAGATGGTGAGGGATAAAGAGGGAGCAGGGAAGAATAAATCAATAGTGCACGGCTGTGGAATGAAGGGCCGCTTGCTGCCAGTGTGTGATTGACACCTCACTGGGGTGCTGCTGCTGAGATGATGCTCATCCTCTCTTCCTGATCCTGACACCTCCCCCCAACACCTACTTCCTCCTCCTCCTCCATCACACCCTGCCGGCCCCGGATGCCCCCCCCCTCCTAAAAATCATCGCAGGTTATTTCCTCTTACACTTCCTCTCTCTGTCTAATGGATCGCTCCACACATACAGTTGTATGCATAAACAGCACACACGAACACAGTGGTGCACCATCACATACACATGAATACACGCACGTCATCTAAAGCCCCTGGGTAGTGTATATTTGCCTTACTACATTGTATCTTTGTAAAATAAATTGGTCTTGTTGATTAAATAAATTGGTTTTTGATAGTGGTGAGAATTATATGGGTTTATTGTTTGTCCTTGGGTAAGACTACCAAAACAAGCCATGGGTTCAATTTGAAATGTTGATGTTATGCGAATCCCCCTGTGGCTTAGGCTCCATAATTAAAGCGCAGATACGAGAGTGGTATCAATCTTCTCTTGTAATTCTTGCCAAAGAAAGTGTATTTGCCGAATTGTTGCAGATGTGTTTGTTTAAAGTTACAACAGTTACTACGGAGTCAAAGTCCTGACACCTCCTCCTGTTTGTTCCACGCGCTTCTGTAGCTCCAATCTCTCTTTCATTATCTTTCTGGAAAAGTGAAGGGGTTTGCTATTCATATTCTACTAATACATTTGGTATCTACTGCAGCACTTTCTATTAGGAGTTCAAATCTTTTAGCAACGTAGCAATCGTCAGTATTTTTATAATAATAATGTTTAAGATGAAAATGTGACAACAATTACTTCATTTACATCTGGGATTAAAAAGCCCATCATATCCAGAATGTATCTAGATATGAATAATTTCACCCTGGTATTAATACGTCTCTCCTGAGTCCACAGTGAGATCTGATCTTTCAGTCCAGAAGAAGAAGAGGAAGAGGAAGAGGAAGCTTGGTTGCACTACAAATTGCCAAGTTTCACTTGTATATTTTTGTTGGACCAAACTGAAAGCACACAGTTGGTCCATCTGGTAGCTGCCTACAGCTACCACCTCACTGGTTTGCAACAGTAGCACATGATTACGTATTTCCACCCACGTAGTTGTTGAATATGGACTGACGACGCAATCGCATTTACACTTGTGTTCAGTGTTGTCAAAAATCCGTCCCTGACCCACTCTGGAGGTGGTTTTGTCAGATCACAATCCTTACTCATTGCGTCTTAGGTGCCTTTACATCTGTACTTTAATGTGGTAAAGCATTATCCAATTGCAATCACCCATAATTATCAACAGGTGTAGATGAGGTAAATGTGACAAATGTGAAAGTCGCTCCTAGTGATGAACCTACAGAGAATTATCACCTGAATATGCCGCTTCCCTCAGCTTTATGGAGCTTTATGGTGAGTTTCAAATGTCAGGCCTGTGACTTTACAGCTCTACTGTTCACTCTCACTGCTCTCATAACACTGTTTCCGGCCATGGGAGGCAACTGCTTTCAGCAAACGCACTCGAAAAACCCACTAAATGCCCAGCACCAAACAGGAGACAGACATAGCTAGAGACTAGTTGGTGAACACACAGGAAAAAAATAACAGTTAAGGTTCAATATCAGACACAAAATCACTTTTCTGGGCTTTAGGAATGTTTTACAAATATAAACCTTTATGAATTTAAGAATAATTGACCTTTGCAGGTGGAGGTTTCCTGTCAAATGTCAGAATACACAGAATAGCTGTTTTCAGTGTAATAGCCTGTTAGCCAACACTGTTTTGCTAGCATACTGCTGGAGAAGCTGTTGCTAGCTCTAATTGTAATTTTGTGAAAGAGCTGCTTTGTTAGTTAATGCTCTTGTAGAGTAACGCTGAACATGAGTTAATAGAGACTCACTTAACTGAGCTGAGAGACTCAAGTTTAACTGACTGATGAATACATCTTGGAAAAAGTAATTGTCCTTCTAACAAATGAATGTCCCACAGAGTTTAAGGTCCCCTCTTGTGGATGTTCTACAGAATTCTATTAACTCTGGAGTCTGCATTATTGACATGAAACATTAGCTCTTGGGGCTGGGAGGGTGGGGGTGGGGTCAGCAGAGACAAGCATTTTTCTAAAATGTCTAAATTCCTGTTATTTTCAGTTTTATTTGTTGATATATATGTTATGTATTGTGCAAATCTTTTGAAGTTACACAAACAAAATTTCCCTCGCAGAGTGCAGATTGTAAGAGTTGAGTGCAAATGTTGGAGTGGCATGGGCTTTCGTTTTTCTTTTTGCAAACAAGATAAAGATACACACATAAATAATGACAACAAAAAAAAAAACCCTCAGGACATCACTTGAAGACAAACTGTTGTTGCTAGGTGACAGCGGCACTGGCTAATTTCAATTTGACTCTGGATGACAAACACATACTAACAGGTTAAATGCACACACCCATATACAGAACATAAATGCAATCACAAACACATTCACACACATAACAAGCATTTTTAAGTATCTCAGCACCATTAAAAGCCTTTTCATTAGACATGTATTCACTGGGATTACATCATTATTGTCTCTCACAATCAAGCAGACGGCAGGGCAGATCAAGGACTGCTTCGCCGCTGTGGATCAATCGCTCGCCCCTTCATTATCGCAGTACAGTAGATGATATGATTTGCTGTGCCTCATTTCTAATCAGAGACTTGTTTTACAGTCAAAGGGTAAGGCAACTAAGTTTTCTATTTCTGTCTGACTAAGATATTTCAAGTAATTGCATTTTGTCTGCCTCAGTATTTGCGCTTTACCTTTGGCTTCCTCAAGACCACATCTAGTGCAACCTTTCTCTCTCATCAGAAAGTCTTCTTTGATGTGGCTTTATGTGGAGATAATGAGTTAATCATGGGGATGGGGAAATTGAGTGGGATTGCTAATTATGGAGTTAATGTGGAAAGAAACAGAGGATAAGAAATTGAACAGCAGCCCTCTGCAGGTGAGACATGTGTGGGTGCGCACATCTCCACTCATCTGCCCACGTGAACAAACATGTTTGTGCATGTGTGTGAGAGTTTCAATACGCGTGGGTGAATTTCTGTACATGTGTGTGTGCGTCTATTATGTAGGTTTACCGTCAGTGGGAAATAGAAAGTCATTATGGAACAGATGCCAAACAAGCCCTCGGTAAGCTGTGCTTAATAGGTCTTAGAGAAGCTCATCAGCAGGTCTCCACACTCCCACACAAACACACACACACACACACACACACACACACACACACACACACACACACACACACACATAGGTTTGCCAGTGACTTCACAGTGAAATTGCACATCTCAGACCTCCAGTTTCATATTCTGAGCCAAATATAGCATCAAAACAAGCAAAAGGGAAATGCATGAGTAAACCAATGTTCATGCATTTCTGAGTATATGCTCTATTTCTTCTTTTAGCGAGACAGTGAATGTTGCACAAGGTCTCAGCAGCACTATTAAACTTACAAGTAATTACTTTTTTTATTATAGCTTAATCTTTCAATTATTTTATGACTAATTATTTTCTAGATTAATTGTTTAGTCAGTACAATGTCAGGAAAAAAAAATGTCATGTTTCCCAAAGGGATATCTTCAAATTGCTTGTGAACAGTCCAAAAGCAAAGTCAGGCTATTTACAGTGATAAAAAGGCAGCAAAGCATCACGTTGATGAAGCTGGAAACAGCAACAATGTGGCATCGTTGCATGATAAATGCCCTTATTGATTAATCACTTATCAAAAATGAAGGTCAAATACAATCAGCAAGCTGCTCTGTGGTGGTTTATTGTTTGTTTGTTTAATACATTGACTCTATGTAGATACTGGCTCGTTCCTGGTTTCCCACTGTGCACCTGCAGGTATGTTACCAGGACCTGGTTGTTTCCCCTTTCTTTCACGCTCATCAGCACCTAAGCCAATTAACCACTTCCCTATTCTATGTGGGAACCTGAGCGTTCCTTCCTCGGCTGCCCACCTCAGCCACCCCCACCCCCACCCCCACCCCCTACTGGCTCGTTCCTGGTTTCCCACTGTGCACCTGCAGGTATGTTACCAGGACCTGGTTGTTTCCCCTTTCTTTCACGCTCATCAGCACCTAAGCCAATTAACCACTTCCCTATTCTATGTGGGAACCTGAGCGTTCCTTCCTCGGCTGCCCACCTCAGCCACCCCCACCCCCACCCCCACCTCTGCCCAACCAGATGGCAGAGGGACAGATCCATCATTGCTTGTGAGGAGTGTCACGTCCATCGCCCATCTTGGCGTAGCGCGCGGCGCCACAGGGCGTGTCCGTGCCAGTCCCCCGTGCCAGGGATCGTGGGCATGTCAGCTGTTCCACCTCCGACGTGCCGCAGCTACAGATGCTACTCATTTGCAGGTTAATGTATTTTGTGGGAGAGCTGTGTCAGAGCGCTGGTGAGTGAAGCGAGCCATCCATCCAATTAGAGCAGAACAGATTAGCGGGCTTTTTTACATTGTACAGCCTCTGGTGGGCCAACATGAAAAAGTGCAGTTGTGTGTCGAGTGAGGTGAGATAGCATTTTCTTACTGTGAAAATCTTGTTATTGTTTTCTGTGGTTGTCCGTCTCTGGCAGGCGTATTGAGAAACTGTGGCTGTAGGACCTCCTGGAAATGTGGGCAAGATGTCCTGTGTACACAGACAACCAGAGACTCATGAACACACACATACATACAGTCATATATCGTCCTAATTCCTGAGTCTTGGCAAATTGTTGACAGGCTAAATGTGTAAATGTGTGTAAGGTTACTCCTGACTAGCGCAGAGCCAAGCGTTCAAATTGAATTACACAAAAATGTAGCCATTTGCCTTGGAGAAGTTATTTTTATGACTGTGTGTCTCCAGGGCAACAGGCTAATGACACTCATCTCACAGTCTGGTGGCATCCAAATCCATTACACTACCTATCCCGTGGCATTACAAATCTGCTTGCCATCATCCAATTTGCCTCCTGTAAATTGCCTTTTCATTCTATGAAGAAATGGTTCCCCATTTGTAATATATGTGTCAAAAGGATTACCAATGTAATATTAATATTCTTGCAGACAATTAGACATCACAAAAGGGAACATTGTGTCCATAAAATTACCCATGGAATGGGTGGGAGAATGATACAGAGAGGGGAAGAAGAGGAGAAAGAGGAAGATGGAGAGACTGTCACCGCACCGTGTTGAATGGGATAGATGCTGCAGAGGGAACAGGGGTGTCTCAAAAAGATAATGAAAAGACCTGGTTCCTCTCACACTGCTGGGCTGAATCAATCAGTAAGGGATTCAAAAAATGTTCATCATTTATTCTCTGCCAGGAGCCTTCCTGTTCTCCCCAAAAAAAAAAAAAAAAAAAAAAAAAAATGGAATAACTTTGAATATATTTCACAGCACAATTTTTCTGCCAATCAAAAGTAAAGATGCCTTAGAAACTCCCTAACTGCACTCCTTCTAAATACAACAGGAGGCTCTCCCTCACTTTTCCACCTCAGCTGCAGTTTGTTTAATCCAATATGGTATTGTGGGTCCATGGAGACAAACGCCTGTGCATCAGCATGCAGAGGCTGGTTTTCCCCATCTGGGCTTGGATATTTTACAGGCCTATAACTCTGTGGCAGCTAAAGCTCTCAGACTGATCTCAGAGGCAGCGTATCCCCTCATGGCCTTCTCTCCTGTGTCCTCTCAACCTTTGCTGTATGGCTTAGATGTAACTAAACCAATGTGTGCAGCCTACATGGCACGGCTTCATTTCTCCACATACCATCTGCTGAGATGAAAAGGTACAGGAAGCGTCGCAGGACCTCACCCACTCCTGCAGCCTCCTCCTCTACGCACCCCAGGCTTCTTCTTCCCGTCATTATGATGCCTGTCACGCAGGCAGAGGAGGCGCACTCAGGTGGGTAAATGCAATCCTCTCGGGCTGTTGAGCAGGGTCAAAGGTCACAGGGGGTCCACCTCTAAAGGGAGTCTGCTTGGCCCTGCACCCACGCACCTACACACTAACATCCTCCTCAGTCGCCCGGCCGACCTGTCTGCTAACCACAGAGTAAAGGCAGACACATGTTCACCAGCCAGATGAAAACTCTAAATCCCTGGCAATCATTTCCATTTTTCTTCCTTTTTAGGCAGCATATTCTTACATCTTACCACCTCTCCGCTTAAACAGCCTGAGCAGCCTCTCTGCAAGCCAAGAAGTAATGGAAAATGTTACATTTCAGTAGGTTTAATGCTTAAAATTCCTCCCCAACTTGCTGTAGAATATCTATGATTGTGAAATACATTGCATTTTCCGACTATCAAAAGGAGCTGCAGGCAAATGTGCCCGAGAAGTAGCCATTTTAGGGAATATTTTATCTCATGGTAGCCCCTTAAATGGATTTATCTCTCATAAAAAACAATCTCCTAGCGCCACGCAGATAAATGCCACCGCGCATTACCTTGTTGGCTTCGGAGAGCAAAGGCATCACAAAAGCAAGCAGAGAAGTGGGCTTGTGGTTACCTGGGGAGATGGGTCAATAAATGCCAGCATGGCATCATTAGCCTTGTCACTTAATGATGCAGCCGGCTAAAAGCATGCCACTGATGTGCCACGCTGACGTGACTATGTGGAAACAATGCTAGAGCAAGAGGAAAGCGTTTCTGGGGGATTTCACATGGAGGCATAAACACAGCGAATGTCACTGTGACCATTAACGCCGTCACAGGCTGTTAGGAGGAAACGTAGATGGAACCTGGCAAACGTGACTCCAGGAGTTGAGTGTTTTTCCCTCTCCACTGTGGGAGGAAAAAGAGACGACATATTTCTTTATTTTGGATCCATATGCTGCCAAGCTCTCGTAGTGCCATCCGCAAGGGAAAACACAGTGTGTGTGTGTGTGTGTGTGTGTGTGTGTGTGTGTGTCTATGTATATGCGTTTCACTAAGTGGGGATGCTCGGAGCCCAGACATCCAGCTGATAGGTTTATTTGACACCCCCGTGCAATATGGGGGATGTTTCTGTTGCTATCAGAAAGGTGAAATGTGGTGCTACGAGCAGAGACAGAGGGAAGTTAGATTTGTCCTCCCTGTCAGGGGGCCGACATTATAGATTTGCAGGGAGAAGAGAGGAAGCTTATTCATTATATGTAGATATAGAATATACAGAAAAACTCCACAATGTGCCTTTCCTGCATAAAAAAGTAATAAATGATTGTGTTTCCTCAAAGCATCAAGTACTGCATGCTTATCTGACATACCCTATAAAAAAACTAGTAGTGCCATCTAGTGCTTCCTCTACATGTGGCTGGATATTTCTGTCTGGCTTGTGACACACACACAAACCTGAATGAGATGTCTGGTCTCCACAGCAACAGGTCTCCCCTCTCTCATGCTGTCAGTGAACCAGCTGATGTCCAACACGTGCACACTGGGTAGATTCTTCAGCTCGCACCCCTTGAGCCATGTCCACAGAGATGAAGCCTCGGTGTCCTCTGACACGATATGAGTGACCACATCGCTACAACCGGAGAAGACAAGGTTTTTTTTTTTTTGTTAGTTGTGGGTAGCAGGAAGAAAAATCTGTGAACACAACACCAACATAGTATCATCTTTGAAGTTTATATGGATAACTGCTTGTGCTTCTAGGCACCTTGGAAAACTCTAATATTCACTCTTCTGTTATCTCTGTTTTGGTCCCCACCAACTTCTGGATCTGGATCTTTAGCTGCTAAATGTGCCACTGTGTTCACCAGCTCTGTCTTTCTGCCATTTGATGCTAGGGAAGTAGTGTACAGTGGGTTTTAGAGGGTTTTTTTTTTTAATTGGTGAAAAGTAAGAGTAAACCAAAACAGTAAATCTGCAGATTAAAAAACAAGAACAAGAAGTTGAAAGATGCAAAAAAAAAAGTGGAAAAGGAATGGAATGAGTCCTAAAACCCGGCATTTTAGCACCTCCGGTCTATGGGTTTTTGGTTAGATGTCTGAAATAAGGTCTGTGGTTAACACAAGCTTAAGATATTTCCATGTTTTATTCTACAAGATAACATACGTCAGTAAATAGCCCAGTCATGACGCTTTAGCAAACTATCACTAACTCTGTAAGAAGAAAGGCTTTTCTAGAAGAGGTCAGAGCTAAATCAAACTACAAGTTGGAAGTTTAGTGGTGGTGACGTTGAGGTCGTGCCACCGTGGTGTAGTTCAGACAGTTGTATTTAGGCCTTAACAATTATAAAACCAAACTTCCTGGTTGGCCTACAAAAATACGTCATCCCTGCGGAACTCTATAGAGCTGCTTAGTCAGGTGATAATTCTCTGTGCTTTCAACACCATGAGCGACCCCCTTCAACCAGTCATGTGATCAATTGTTAAAATTAATATATTGATTATAGCTGCTTAAATACCCCTGAAAACTTAGTAAGTATTTCTCTGAAACATAAGATGACAACAAATAATTAAAAACTGGAATTAAAGTTTTAATAAACATCTTTATGTGATATTTCTTTGGAGTTGAACAGTGGTATTATCAGATTTGACTGTCTGTAGCCCAACAACACAGCCCCTGAACTACCATCTGATTTTGAGAGAAATGTTGCAAAATTCTTCCCAGCGAAGCCTGCCCACTCAAGACCAGTGAGAAGAGCACATACAAAAAAACAAATACAGAAATCTCTTAGATGAAAGAACCAAAACTGTTCTAACTTTGGCAGAAAATTTTGAGTTTGTGTTTGACCTGTTCACTCATATAAGAGCTTGATTTGTTGATTTAAGTCTTTATGTTTCTCTTAGTGCAAAATATAAGCAGAAAAAAGCCTTGATTCCACATTTACTGATTAGTAGGATTCACAGGAACTGGAAGATTCCCTTCGCTCTTTGATTTAACAAAATAAAACTTTCCTGTCTTGCTCTCAGCAGCCTTTAGAGAGGGGAACAGTTCAAGTGATGCTTTTGAAATGCAGCTCAGATCTCAGCATCATGGTCTTATCCGTGCTGTTTGGGGATCAACACTGGGTGAACAACAATCAGCACAGACCCTCAGTGCCTCCCTCCACTGTTTGATAGCTGAACTCATTCAACCAGTGCCTTCTACAGCTCCGCCGAGACGTTCAACAGACTTTTTATCATGGTCTCCTCCCCTCTGCTTCCTGCAACAGAGTCTAACTACCATACCCAATCAGAGCACCCAGCCGTGCATAATTACCCTCGCCACACTCCTCCTCTTCCTCTCTCCTGACGTGGGTAAATCGGTGGAAAGACTCCTTAAGGGAGGTCCCAGCAGAGCTCAGGCTGAGGCCTAATTGACCAAATCACTGGCGAAACTAATCCTCTGGCTGTTTGGCATACCAGTCCAGCCACTGATGGTCCGTGTTTAAAAAATAAAATCCTTCCCAGTACAAAGACATGGACAAAGAGCCTCTAACACAGACACATTTGAGGTATCTAAGGGGCACAAAAGCTTAAACTCACTGGCCGTGAACAGTTGTCTAACCACAGTAATAGAGACTTGGCTCTCAGGTTTATTTCCCTCTGAGATCACCAGGGGTTGAGTTGCTATGTTGGAACAAAACTGACGTTCATAGAGGGAAAAAAAGCATTGTCTCCTTGTGCCATGTTTACCAAGATATAATCCAGCCCCTGATTTGGATCCTTATCTTAACGCCTAGCCACACAGAATGTAAAACGGCAGATTGGCATGTTAAATGAGCAAAAATGCAAGCCCAGCACCAGATTGTACTTCCCTGAATCAGTGGGACTCTGAGCCCAGACACAAGGACAGGCTTAAGTCAATGGTCTTTGATATGGAGAACTCTCTCGAGTCGTCTCTCTGTCCTGCTCGCCGGCGGCCACCCTCGCCATCCCTTCCAAAAGCGAAAAAACAACAAGCATATCTAAGACCACGTATGTCCACAACAGATTTTTACACCAGGGTGAGGTTTCATCTGTTTGCCTTTCACAGCTGCTCCTATGAGCCATCTTTACCGAGATAATCACTGTAAGACGGTAGATAAAATTAATCAATAATGTAAAATTAATTAGATCAAGCTAGAATATCTATGCGTAATGTGTAAAACAAGGTTACAGATTACACAAGGATTTAGAAGCTCTATACTGCAACACAAGGGCAATGATTTTTCTTTGTTTCCGTGTCTTTTCTAACCCGTTAGCTTAAGACAATATGAACATAGGCATCATGAGTGTAGTTGAGACCCTTTACAACTGAAAGCATTAAAAAGTCACACGGAGGATGCGTTTTCAAACCGAATCATGATGTGAACATTTAGCTAGCCAGCTAGCTACAGCTGATGAAATCTGCTAGCAACAGTGGGAACGTCACTCAAAAAAAACAACTGTCACCAGCTAGGAATGAGAATTCTGCTTTTGTCTGTCATTGTCTGAAATTGAAGAAACGTTGTTTTAGAAATGATTAAGAATTTAGAGCGGTAAATATACCCCCTTGATCACTGTAAAATACATAATGTGAAAACCAAAAGATGGACAGGCATAACAACTAAAGGAGAGCTTAAACTTCAGAGTGATGGTTATATTCTAAATTGTGCTATGCTGTCAAAGGCCAGTGTGTGTGTGTGTGTGTGTGTGTGTGTGTGTGTGTGTGTGTGTGTGTGGGTGTGTGCGCACGGGCGTGTGTTTCCTGCCGTTCGTGAAAGAGCATTTATTGCAGCTCATCAATCAGCCAGGACAAACTTGTCGATATCTGGATCCAAGTTCATGTGCATCAGACTTGAAATTAGGACAAGGGGAGACATGGTGTGTGCATGCGTCATGTGTTCGTGTGTGTCTGTGTGAGCACGCGCGTGTGGGCGTGCGTGTGAGCACATGCCTTCATGCACAGAGGAATGCACACAGTGTATCAGACCATATGCTCAAGGCAGCGTGCCTATAACTTGTGTAAGTCTAGATAACGGGAGGTGTTGCTATCAAACTGCAGCTGATATCAGTTTTGTCGACTTGCAGAATTCATGTCAGTTTGAGGCAGGCACGCTCTATTTCCTGTCGTTGGTTTCAAACAATTGTATCAAGCCAAGTGTAACCGTAGGAGCGCTCAAGCTGTGTTTCTGGGAATGCTGCCATGGCCAAGCTGGCGCACGGCTGGCAGGCACACTTACTGCATGCATTTAAACACGCACACACACACACACAAACACACACACACCTGCTAGTTGTACTATACTCATGAGGACCCTTTATTGACTACATATAAATCACATGCTAATTTCATCCTTAAGGTAACTTTAATTTGGAAAAGCAGCCCTCACTGTGAACGTCTTAAAGTCAAATTAGTTCTTGAAAATGACACACACACACAGACACACACACACACACACACACACACACACACCTGCTCATCAGAGCAGCTCAGAGTCAGTTTTAAGCTGCCTAGCTCACAATAACAAATTCAACTTTTTAAAAATGGGAGGTGGCATCAGCGGTATGACAAGCCTGAAAGCAACCTGCCTCTGTTGCGGACGTCAAGCAGAGGACCTCCGCAGTGTTCACAGTTTGGGATTTAAAAGATACTTTCAACTGAAGACGGAGAAAAAATGAAGAAGGCATGCTGCTTCCATAATTACCGCACAATGGATGATTCATCACCACAAGAAACAAGCTCACCAAGTATCTCTCCTTAAGTGCAACTTAACAGAAAACTTTCACCAAACTCATTAAAAAAAAAGTTTGTGTGGGCTCTGTTACCTTTCCTTTTTTTTTTTTTTTTAAGTCTTCTCTCTGCCAACAGGCTGTAGCTGCGTTAGCCCATTTCTTCCTTTCCTAAACGTATTTATGTAGGAGCTGAGTTATGGCTCAGAGGGGAAAATCCACTAACGTGTAGCAGAGGCAGGATGGATGCCCTGGCCCTTCCTTAATTAAGTATTCATGAGTCAATAGTGGCTCGCTAACTAGCTAATTGAACCTAAACTTCTTAAAAAAGGGAGAAGTTTTAAAGAAAATGCCACAAAGTATTAATGAATATCTCACTAGAGAGCTGGTCTTTTTAATTATGCCCTAAATTTTTTTTTTTTCTTTTAGAGGAATAGTTTAACAGCCTGATCTGTCGTTACTATAAATATCTGGGGTGCAGGTTAAATTTGATACCTGTGTATAGACAATCCTTACATTATCCCAATCATTTCTGCTTCTATAGATGAGAAATTAATGTTTAAGCAATAAAATGAGTTCATTTTACATTTACTAGCCTGGCTGCAAACAGTGCAGCCATGCTCAAACAGGCCTTTAAGTCGTATCATGACCTTCCATTTCATTAGGGTTAAAATAAGCCCTTGAAAGCCAAGGTCAAACTGTTCTGACTGGTATCCGAGCAAAAAAAAAAAAAACACAAACCCAAAAAATTGTGTAAAAAAAACCCACCCCCAACCCCCCTGCATCTCTCTAAGCTGCACATTAATGTGTTCTCCTGAGCTTCACATTCAGAAAAGCTTCTAAGCACCAAACCTCTGCTCAGTCACTGAACAACAAAATAGCAAGCTTTTTACAACCTGAGGATGTCTTCCACAATAAAGCCCTTTGACCTAGCCAGTTGGGTCAGAAAGCTTCTCCTGCTGCAGCCCATTTTCCTCTCCACCAGGTACAGTCTGACATCCTCAAACTTCACCCCCTCACGCCTTGGAGCGCCGGCTTCCACTGGTCTCGACCTTTTCCTCACACGAGGCGCAATGGGAGTGTGGAACATCTCTTTTCAGAGGAGCTATCCAAAGTATTTCTGAATCTCTAGGAATTTCTGCGTAAGTGTGCTTTTGTTGTTGTTGCGTGCCACTTAACATCCACCTAGGAAAAACACCCACTTTGATAAGGCCCCAGTTGTTTATTTGACAGTTGTAGCTTTCCTTTTTTTTTTTTTTTTTCTTGCCTGATAGTGGGACAGTGTGACAGTTGGAGCAGGGTTGGTGAAAGTTGGCAGACAGGAAAAAGCTTCTGGCAACAGGTGTTGAGGATTTGGTGTTTACCAAAAACCACCTGCCAAGATCGAATGATTGAGGATGTGAGAAAAAAAGATGAAAACACCCTGTTGGCATGGCATTATTCGCTTCCAGTAGTAGAAGTTTTTCTGCAAACACATGCGTTTGGAGGAAGTAAACACAGCCTCATCCAGTTGCTTCTTAAAAAGCTACTCAAAAGTTTTTCCTGCAGTTGTAACTCTACTGTCTTGGCTGGAGTCTCACTCCTGGGAGATGCCTGAGTCCTGGTCACCTCACAAACCCCTCACAGCTGTCCTGCCATGTCCAGTTCGTCTCGCCACTCACTGTCTCATTATGTCCGGACCAAGTCTGCACCATCTGCTCCACCACTTTAATTAGCTTACTGCCTAAAATGAGAGCCTTTGTGGGCATTTCCCCCGAGATCCCAAAAGCTCATGAACGGCCTTTGCGCACACACGCACACACACACACACACAGGTACTGTATATGCAAGCCACTGATAATCAGGAACATTTATCCAGGGAATATGCAGTGGTCAGGAACGCAGACTGAAAATGGATTTAATCTGTTGAACTCATCTATTCCTTTTGTTTCCAAAGAGGTAATTACAACATGATGCATCTGCTTCAGCAGAGCAAATAGGAAAGATTTGTTGATTTAGGTGAAGGGGGGAAAAAAACATCATTACAGGCCTTGATTCTACATCTAATTACCACTTTGTTCATTTCTTCGCTTTAATAAGCACACCTTGCTTCTGTCTGCTTCACAGAAATTATTACACGGCTCTCATTAGCGCGGAGTTCCGGGGGTTAACGGGTGTCACAGGGCAGACGCCACTAATTGTTTGACGATTTAGCCCCCCAATCATTCAGCTGTATATGAGGGTGCTGGCCCCCATCCAGACAGAGACCGATGAAATTTGAACATCACTGAGACAAATGGCTCTTACACTGCCAGTAGCAATCACTGCAAGAGCAACGAACCCAATTTCTCATCTAACTTTCTACTGTAGCTCTATGTGTGCATGATAAAATCATCTGATAATTATAATTATCATACATATTCAGTTTATTCACTTTATTTTAATGTTAATTCTAGCAGATACTGAATATGTCAGGTTGAGAAAATGATGCTAAAGACACCCAGTGGTTTAAATTCGATAAGTACATTACTACAAGTAATGTAGGCTACAATTTAGAGGTATTTGTACTTTATTGAATATTTCCATTTTATGCTGCTTTATACTTACACTCTGCTACTTTCAGTTTTTTTCTTCAACAACAACAGTGTATTAGTTCCACCTCGACCAGCTGTGAAATTGAAATGCTACATCTTCATTATTATGTCAGTATCCAATGTTGAAATATAACACTAAATGGGGCCAGTGTGTGCGAGTGGGCTACTTCTACATGTGATAAGCAGCTATAACTGATATTTTTTACAATAACAATATATCAAATGAAAATATGAAAACAATTTGACAGTGAAAGGGGGACAGTGATAGTGATGAACCCCTTTTGAATCTGCAGCTTCCCTCAGCTCCCTCAGAGTTTTACAGTGAGTTTCAGCTCAGTGTTAAGCTACCCGACTCTTAACTTTACTGTTTTGGTTTTCATAGTGTCGTTTTTCAACCACACAAGGCCACTGTTTTCAGGTAAAAGACTCTACAAACCCACTGTCCATTACCTGCTTTGCACCAAACACCAGACAGATACAATTAGAGACTACTTAGTGAACATAGTGGAGCATATAGCAGATAAAGAGCCAGATATTTTCCCCAGGAGTTGGTAGAGACTAAAAACAGAGCTAAAAGATAGTGAATATTGAACTACTTTCACCATGTGAACACAACTCCAAATTAAAGGTAATGTAGCCCATGGATGTGTAAATAAACAACTGTTGCAATGTTAATTTCGTGAGTGAAAATTGTGAAATATTTGACAACTATTTTTTCCCATGATGAAGATGAGACACTGACAATACAAAACTGAAGTTATTAAACAATATCTGACGACCCAGCAAACAGGTACATTTTTTTGTTTCTAGGTTCTTTAAATAACCTTTAAAGAACTTCCCCAAACTAGCTACTAACGTAAAATACACAGTGATAGGAAAAGAACTTGATGGTGTCAGTGAGGCTCGTTTTAGATTCACAGTCCACAATCTTAATCACAATCTGCATCCTGTTTCTGCTCTGGTTTTGTAGTGAAAGATCTGACTGGAAGCTGTGATTCCTATCTTTGAGCTTTTGAGTATTTTGAGCTTCTTTCAGATGCTTGTTAGCTTACCACTACTTTTCACCCATAATACTGTCTTTATGAGGTGTTATAGGTACATACCTCAATTAGAAAGTTTAGTGGCTGCTGACTTGCTCACCGGCAGGGAGGTCTCTTGTCCCGCAGAGGAACGGCAACTCCATCTTGGGCTACAGCTGGGGACAGTAGTTCTTGTTCTGCTCACGTGTCAAATCACTGGGAGGAATCAAAAGGATCCTTTAGCTTGAAATACTTAAAATACCCACTTCATGTTATGTCAGGCCACTGCAAGTCCCAGTCCAGTGTGAAAGCTGTTTAAGCAAAACTCACCTATGCTGACGATGCTAGCCATGCCATCTACTAGCTAGCTGCTTTGTAGGCCCGCTGAATGTTTTAAAAACACATTTACATTAACAGACAGAAGCGCCTTACATGAATGCTCCGAAACTGACAGGAGAACCAACCTGCGGGTGAGACGGATCCATCTTACCAGTCTGCATGGCGGCTAGCATCTACTGGCATACAGCTGGAGGAAGTGTCGGGGGAGAGTGACATCTGAGCAGCCCTGATGAGACTGTTGCCTTTGCAACCCAGACTCAGATAAGTAGTAGAGAATGAATGGATGGCAAATGATAGTTTATCACATTAAATTGATACTTCTTATAAATATTTTATGTGGAGTGTGTAACATCCTCATTTGTAAAGCTGGCACTGTCCGTGAATCACAGGACACCTTTGTGTAGTGTTGTATTCAAATCCCGCGAGATTCCGTCAATGTTTTTTGTGAGACCCAATTCGGCTGAATAAAGTCCACCAGTTAGGAGTGACGCCTTTGTCGTTATCCTTCCTTCATAAGTTAGCCTGAGAGCAAAGATACCAGAGTGGTAGCAATTATTCATTAAATCATAGAGAATTAGTCTTAAACAGTAATTTTTGTCCTGTTTGTAGGGTATGTGTGATTTGACACAACTTACAGTATAGTTGCATCCCTGTACTTAAAGTTATGGCTACTTAGAGTTACACCCCTCTATTAGCCTAGCCAGCTAAGTTAGCTCGGCAGTAGCCAGTTGAATGGTACCAGCTTGTGTTGTGTGCAAAGAGGTTTCAAGTATTTTATTCACAAATTTATTTAAATAGTAGTGTACAACCTATTATAAACATACTGTATAAGTATAACACAGTCCCGACAAAACTGAACATTATAAGGGGAGTATTTATTGCAGGACTGCTGTACCTTTCCACTAACTTAAATGTTCACAATGTTTCTGTCAATTAATTTTCTGATGCCTAAAAAAGATTAAAATATTTAAGTCAAATGACTGTAACTAAAAAGGATGAGGTTGATTAATATGACAAAAATTCAAATAGACCTTTGATCTGAGGACACAGACTAACACAAAATTTAAAAATAGCTTTAAAAACGAACACTAATGTATGTCAATGTTGTGTCCACAACTTGTTTCCGCTGCCCCAAGTGGCCAAAATCGTTATTGCAGGTTTAAATGCATTTGCTGATAGTACTACTTCAAACACCTGAATTTTACTTGTAAAGGAGTCATTTTATTTTTGTTTTATTGTTATTATTAATTGAGTAAAGGGTCTAAATATCTCTCATCTATATAGTTTTTCCATTTGATGGAATAGTGCACCCATAAAAAACATTTATTTCTGGGTGTGAATATTTCACTCAGTGTAAATATCATATTTTTTATGAAACAACAGTATATACAAAATATATACACAATGTGATGTCAGATAGTGTGGAATTAGACGGATTAGTAACCTTATAATACATTTTGGCCACTGGGAAAAGGCAGCAGGAAAGCTGAGAGCAAACCCATGCATATTGCAAGATTAATTAAACCCATTGGCTACACAGTCACTCACTTCAAAACTGATGCAGATTCTATTGAAGCAGGGCTTGCATGAAGCTTTTCTGAGGTTGTCTGCTGTTTTGCAAATTGCGCTGTCATAGGTTGGTTGTTGGTAGGCTGTCTCGTAGGCAATTACGATGGGATGTGCATTTATTTTCATTTCTGTTTCTGTTAATTTCATTCTCATGTTTATTTCACTCGCTTCCTGCCTGCATTTAATTCATTTTTACTCATGCCACCCGTGACCGCAGCTGTCTGCTCCTGCTGGAAACACGTTCGTTAGAGGAAAATCCTAAAACAATTACCAAATACTCTATAAAGCTGAGGGGAGCTAAAGATTTGAGTGTTTATCAGTTTCAAAACCCTTTCCACATTAGTTACATAGTGTTGTTTATGTAAAAATGTTGACTAGAGTAAAGCTTTAAAGCTAAGTGTGTGAATAACACAAGGGAAGAACTGGATGAAAAGGGAAAAAGTGTTGTCCTCATCCATAGATAGATAGATAGATAGATAGATTTTTATGTTGAAAACATATAAAATCAAAACCTCAGTGCTTGGAGCAAACAGCATTGTTTTGACAGCTGTTTGTTTTCTTCTGTTTGTTCCCACAGCATGTCAAAAAGTGCCAGGTCCAGTAGGTTTGTGAATTAAATATTTTGGAATCAATAACCAACAGAGCATCAAAAAAGAGAAAACACACAGCCTGAAGGTGAGTCTTATTATCCAGTTTTCTTGCTGAGGAGTTACTGCTTTGTATCATATTATAATATTTCAGGTCGAGGATGCTTCCTAACAAAGTAAAAGACTGTATAGCTACTGATGAAACTTAACAAATAGAAGTGATAAGAAATGGTTTCCTTCTGTTTTATTTTATATACGTCCTCATTCCTCATTCACATATTAAGTGTGTGGCTGTGTTTTAAGGTTGTATTCGATAGCTAAAGAGTTTTCAGTTTGGTGTCGAGTAAACAGAGGACCAAACACATGCACACCATTGCTGAAAATAACTGGAACATGTAGATAAGAAGTAATGATATGGTTGTAAAGTCCGCGGACCAGCCAAGCTGCAGGAAATAGAGTCACAGTCTCACCTTCCTGTGTTACAGCGTCGAATAATGGTAAGAAGTGTTCTTGCAAAACATCATAATGTCACAGTGAAGTTGACCTTTGAAATTTTGGATATAAAGTGTCATCACTTCATTCTATCCTTATGGATTACATTGTGTCATTATTAGAATGTGAAGTTATGGCCAAAAATATGTTTTGTGAGGACACAGTGACCTTTGACCACCAAATTCTAATCATGTCATCACTGAGTTCAAGTGAATGTTTGTGTCAAATTTAAAGAAGTTCCCACAAGGTGTTACTGAGACATCACGTTCACAACCGTGGGACGCACAATCTGAAAACATAGAGCCTCTGGCCCTGGCTGTCGCCGGCGCAGAGGCATGAAAAAAAAAGCAACTGTAGTCGTCTGTGTAGAAAAGTGATGATTCTGTAGTTTGACAAAACAAATTAAACAACTTCCGACCATTCATCACTGTCATACTCAGTTCCTGAATTAACTGAACAGTTGAATGGTAAATAAGCTTGTTTGCTTTCTTGCCAAGATTTAGATGAGAAGATTGATGCCAATCTTATGTCTATGCTTTAGTATGTAGTATGGAGCCAAGATGATTCGCTTACCTTCTGAACACTCACTAATTTGAGGTCACTGCAGTCAGCCACTGATCAAAACCACAACTTTTTATTTTCAAAGGTAAGAAAATCTTCATATGAGCACCTCTGATAAAGCTCATTCCTGAAGAGGTTGTTGCTCATTGTGCTCATCTGTTGCTATGTATCTGTTGGCTGCGTAAGTGGGCAACTTTTAGGTATCAACTCTCATTAAATCTTGGCAAGAAGTTTTCCAAAATGTTAATCTGTTCCTTTGATTACATATTAAATTACATCAGAAACTAACCCTGCTTGGTGCAGTATATCCATATAGCTAACATTAAGTAAGAAAAGGGCCAATCACCAAATTCAGCAGTGGACCTTTGTCATCTCCAACACTGCATGACTCAGTCTGATAAAACAGAAAATGTAAGTTAAAAGTATTTTATCATATGTTTCGATTTCTCACTGAGGTGTTGGTTCTTGACATGCCCGATCACAGTCATATTTCTTGTACCTGAGATGCTAGTCAACAAAGAAAATTCCCCATTTCCTCTCTTGATGAAAATTTCCAAATAACACACACTCTATATAGAGTGCAAAAATGTATAGTAAAATTAACACCGTGCCTTATGGTAAATGAAGCGTGCCTAAGATGGGACACTCTATTATGACACTTTTGTTTCTTAAGTGTACTCTATTTATAATGACTATGAGGAAGTTGTTGCTTCCCTTTTGTGGATACCTCTACTGCAGTGTCAGCTACAAGTTTAGATTTCTTTTGGTTTTTTTAAGTACCATGAATTTCCACATTCCAGCGTAGACAGAGAATATCTTTTGGCTTTAATGAGGTGACCTCCCTGTGCGTACTTCACCCTGCTGAAGCTGGCTGGTGTGTCAGTGCCGTGACGCGTGACCAGTCAGTCTATTACTGTACTTCCAAAAGCTCACTCCTGCTCTGAGGTTCCCCGTTGAGACAGAAATGAACCTGCCGTCCAGAGAAGAGTGTGAGGGGTGGGACCAGGCGCAAGTGGCCCTCTTTATGTGCAAGGTGAGTACAAGATGAAATGAGGCACTATCAGAAAGCCAGTGGATATTATGGAGGAGTGTTGACCTATTTTCCCCTGATTTAAAAGTTCACTTCTTCAGTAGTGGATCATGTTTGACAGCTTCTCATCATGCACACTATACACACTGTATACAACTCCAGCGAGTGTTCACACAAAGTGATCATGACAGGAAGTGTTTTGGAATTAAATTCAGTAAATCTGTGTTTAAATGTAAATGTCAATTCAGGAAACTGAATCAATGTGTTTCCTGCCCTCAGAACAAAATGCAAGAATGCGCCAGCACTGTAAAAAGACTGAGAATTAATGGACAAAGACTTCTGGTGAGTCAATCTCTTGCATTTTTTTCTTCTTTCACATAAATTTTCCAGAAAACACTCTTTCCATCCCTCTTTGCCATTACATAATCTGCTAATCCATTCAGGATCAGATCAGGGCTGTGGTTGTGTTCAATTTGTTATTCTAATTACATCAAAATGGACAAATCCTCCCAAGCAATCATTATTATTATTATAATTAAGGTATTAAAAACAACAGCATAATTACATTTCCTGGAGTTGTTTGTGCCTGTTTCGCTAAAAATAAATGAATAAATAAATAAACAAAAACTGAATTTTCAATGCCAAAAATTTGGTATGATTTTCACTGTTATTTTAGTTTATTTTAAGTCAGTTATGTTTGGAGGAGTAGATACATGAATCCCAAACCTTTAAATTTCTATTTCTTGAATAAATTGATGAATACATTTTAGATTGAATGAATCCTAAGCAGTAATATATAAATCTACAAAGTTGACAAACAGAGGAGAGTTTACAGGATATGAAACAGGACTAATGCAAACCCCCTTGCTTGAATTACTTCACATCAGTTTGTACTGAGCGATCCCTCTAATATGGAAGTAAGTCAGTTGCAACTTCTGCTTTGATATCATTCTCACTGCTTTGTCACATTATTCCACATTGTATGCACGATCTCTGAGGGCTGACACAATGAGTGCAGGTGAAAGCTGTGTGTGTCTCAGTTTGGGAGAGAGAGTGAGAGCTGTGAAGTGAATCACGGGCCTATTAAAGCTGTGATCCCTACTTATTTCAGTTAAGTATCATTAAATCTGCTTCAGTCATGAGGGAGAAGAGGATTTTATGCAGTGAAATAGCTTAAGCACGGCTTTATAACTTCTTAATTTTTAGTATTTTGAGGGGCGTAATGATACCAGAGTAATGCACTCCTGTGCATTGGCCTCTCTCTAGAAGCATTCATTCATTTGCATCTTTTTAGTGGCCACTTATAAACACCTCTTGTCACTCTAACAAATGAGAGCTTCAATCAACACCTCTATTCATTCATCACTGACTATGAAGTGATTTCATTTCAGGTGGGACATTGCATCACTGAACTACTTCCCCCTATCTCTCCCAAATATGCTCACTGTGGATTTTTACAAGTCAAAATTATGAATGTTTCAGAGCAGAGGCTTTGATGTGCAGGATCCCAGTGCAGAACTGAAAAATGCACATACATACAATATGTGTATTGACTCATAGATGCCATAGCTACAGATCCAGTCGGTACACCAGAGCTTTATTAAGCCCTGATAAGCACATGCTCAAGAATATTTCATAATGGCCGCTCAGCCGACCACACACACACACCTTCAGTTTAACCAGCTACAGACCTGTAGAGTATGGCTGTATGGATTTCACTGTCCACTTCTTTGGTCCAGATTCAAATATCTCAGCAGTTATTGAATTGCCAGGGAATTTTGTAGAAACATTCATGGCCCCCAGAGGATGGATTATACTAATTCTTGTGATCCCCCGGCTTTTCTTCTTCCACCACCATGAGGTTGACATTTGAGATTCAGAATGAAATATTTCATCAATTATTTGATGGATATCCTTGCATTTTGCTGCACATATTCTAAGTCCATAGAGGATAAATTCTGATGACTATGGTGGGTCCATACCTATAACCTATTCATTCAATACTACGGACTCATTATTTTCTGCTTGTAGCAACACTACTAATAGTCTGGCTTTATGGATGGCAATGTCAGTCAGACAGTCCACCATTTGGCCAAGACTAAAATATCTGAACAATGATTGGATGGATTGCAGTGAAAATGTGCAATATTAGTGGTCTTGAGAGGATGACGCCTACTTTATGGTGGGTTGTCATTTTTAGATCTGAAGTGACATGTTTCTTCTGTATGGATTGGCTCAAACATTTTTGTAGGTTCCCAAATAATAATTACTAATGATTCATTATCATTAGGTATTCTCATTGTATACCAATTGCCATTGTGTTTAGGGCTAACTAGCAAATATCTGCATGCTAACAGGCTAAAGTAAGATGGTAAACATAATAAGCCATATACAGCAGCTTCAGAAAGTGTTCAGACCCCTTCACCTTTTGCAAACTTTATTGTGTTTTAGATTTAATTCTAAATGGATAAAAAAATTTTCCCCAGTGACGAAGTGAAAGCATATTTTTAAACATTTTTGCATTTATTAAAAACTAAAAAAATGAAATCTCTTATTTACAAAAGTATTCAGACCTTTTGCTGTGGTACTCCAAGCTCTGGAAGGTCAATCATCTCAGCAGCCCTAATCAGTCTTTACCTCCCTTTATGGTAGAGTGGCTAGCCGGATACCACTTTGAGTAAAAGGCATGTGATTGCTCACTTGGAGTTTGCCAAACAGTATTTAAAAGACAGTCTGAAAGCATAATAAAAAGATTCTTTGGTTTGATGAGACAGAAATGTTACTTTTGAGTTTGAGTACAGTACTATGTCTGGCAAATCTCTGACTGTCCATAGAGCATCTGTAGAGAGACCTGAAGATGGCAGATCACAGATGCTTCCCTTCCACGCTGATGGCCCTTTAGAGGATCTGCCAGTTCAGTGAACCCTTGTTCCTGAACCCTGAACCCTGAACCCTGACCTGAACCTGGTCCCTAAACTGAGCACAGTTCAGGGCTGGCAACCTGGAGCCAGTGCCATGGGTTGGGAACCAGAGGCGAGTTCAGGGAGCATGTGTGCAGCACTCCCAGGCCGAAGCAGCCAGGGCTGGAGGCCTGGAGCTGGTGCCAAGGGTTCACAAGCAGAGATCAGGGGGGTTGGGGTGTTGACTGGCCCCGCCTCCCAGTCAACACCCCAACCCTTGCTCCTGGGTCTGGGCCTTCCTTAGTTCCCCTCCATTTGTACCCATACTTGTCCCCCTCCCATATTTTGCTCACTTTAGGGTGGTGTTGAAAATGTTGTCATTCATGGTTGTTAGAACGCCTGTCACCTGGTCCCTGAAATAAGCTCTGATTCTCAACACCTGGCAATAGCTCCAGACCCCCAGCCCTGGCTGCTGGGGCCCTGGAGGGCCTTACACCTGGTCCCTGAACTGGCCTCTGGTTCTCAACCCCTGCCACTCCCTCCAGGTGGCCAGCCTAGCCTGTCTTGTTCTGGGTTTTACCTCAACCCTTCCTCCTGAGTGTAGGCTTTCCTCAGTTCCCCTACATGTGTACCCACATATACGTACCTTCCCTGAATCCATACCTAAAGTATCTACTGGTGCATTATGAATAGGTGATGCATTAATGAGGAAACATGAGAAACTGTCTCCACACCACCGTCAAGTGAGAAGTAAAAAAAAAAAGAAGTCGTTGCAGCTAGAATGCTATCAATATGACTGGTAGCTGTACTATGACTGCTACAGAGGCTTTGAGAGCTCAATGCACTGCAATTCACGTGCTGCAAATACTCCCAACACTACCAAATACAGAAACATGCTACATGCTACACGCTACATGCTAAACAACAGAAGTGCTTCCAGAAGGCACAAAGAAGTGATGAACCAGGCTGTTGTTCAGTGCTTTGTGACTTGTAAAGTCAAAAGCATTGGACAACAAGTGCGTCCCAGCCTGGTTCACCGTATTGCACTCTACTGGTACTATTAACATTAGTCAAGATAGTATCATAATGTCACACAGGATTTGAAGCTGCAGTTGTTTCAGATATAAGTTACTGAATGTTATGGAGACACCACAGCTCTTCAGAAACACAATAATTTCGCTACAACAATCTGACAGCAAAACTCTGTCAACTCACTGCACACACAAGACCTATATAAAGCCATTTACAGTAACAGATTAATTAAATGTACATTTCTTAAATGTGAACACACACACACGTTTTCTCCATTGAATTTAAATGTAATTAAATAAACAGTTATTATAATAATACTGAACTCCTTAAACTGCTACTTTTATGAAAACTGTTTTAGTTGTTAGTAATTGAAAGAAAACTGTAAACGGACAAAGGGTCTCTGAATTCCGAAATTGTATCTGGCTCTTCTTCTTAACTCCTGGCACAGACTCAAGGCCCCAGCCCTGCAAGCTTGGGCATTGGAGGACCTCACACCTGGTCCCTACACCAGGTCCTGGTTCTCAACCACTGGCAGTTTTTGTATTTTTGATTTTTCACATCACGGTGGTGTGGAAACAGTCTCACATTTTTTCTCATTAATTCAAAACCTGTTCAAAATGTTCCTGTTGATACTTTAGTTAGGGATCCAAGGAGGGGTGCTTAAGTGTGGGTACACATGGAGGGGGACTAATTACTCCCCAGACCTGGGAGGAAGAAAGAGGGTGTTACTGGGTGGGACTCATATTTGGTCCTTGTATTGGGCTATGTTTGTCAACCCTTGGTACTGTCTCCAGACCCCCAGCCCTTGTTGCTTTGGCATTGGAGAGTCTCACACTTGCTCCCTGAACTGGCCTCTGGTTCTCAACCACTGGCACTAGCCCCAGACGGCCAGCCCTGTCTGTGAGTGACTGGGAGGGCCTGCTTCATTAATTAAACAACATGAGAAACTGTTTCCACACCTCCATCAAGTGAGACAATGAAAAAACTAAAGCCAAGAGTTGAGAACCATAGTCTGGATCAGGGACCAGGTATGAAACCCTTAAAACTCAAGCAGCCAGGGCTGGGACCTTGAGCCAGTCCCAGGGGTTAAGAAGAAGAAGCTGGTATGGTGACCAGGTGTGAGACCTGCCCACTTTAAAACAGACAGGGCCTAGACCCAGTTCCAGTAGTTGAGAAACAGAGGTGAGTTCAGGTGTCAGGCCCTTCAATGCCCAAGCAGCCACGGCTGGGAGCCTGTAGCCAATGCTAAGGGTTGACAAGCAGAGCCCAATACAAGAACCATGTGTTAGGCCCTTCAAGTCTAAACCCCAACTCTTCGTCCCTGGTCTGGGCATTCTTTAATCCCTCTCCATGTATACCCACAATTAAGTCCCTCTCCATTTTTTTGGTAACTTCAGGCTCTAACCTGGT